CGGGGGGAGCGCCAGCCCCGGGCATGCAGCTATGGGGGGGGCCGCCCCCGGGCATGCGGCTATGGGGGGGGGCTGCCCCCGGGGCGCAAGTGTTCCCGCCCCCTGGCGCCCAGCGGGCGAACGGCCATGCCCCCTGGCGCCCGACAACCTCGAAAGGTTGGGGACCACTGATCTACACTGCCATGTGCTTTTGCGCAAGAGATGTGCTTTTGCGCAAGAGCATCCATGGCAGTGTAGATGCTCTCTTCCGCAAGAAAGCTCTGATGGCCATTTTAATCATAAGGGCTTCTTGTGCAAGAAATTCATGTTGCCTGTCTACGCTGCACTCTTCTGGAAGAACTCTTGCACAAGAGGGCTTATTCCTCATGGGGAGAGGAATAACTCTTCCAAAAGAAGCCTTGTTTTACAACGCTATACTGTAAATTTACTTCTGGAAGAACACTCGTGCAGGGTAGACAGCCGGCAAGTTTTTGCGGATGAACAGCTGTTCTTTCGCAAGAAGCTGCCAGTGTAGACGTAGCTCTGGAGTATATATATATAGTTAGTGTGACATTTTGGGAGATAGTTTACTGAAATTCCATTCAGCCACTGCAGAGGATTAAACCACAACAGTCTGTAGTTAACATTGGATTCTATTCAATTTAGTTTGGGAGAGTGGTGAGTGGTCTTTCAGATGAGATCTTAAAAATCAATTTTTTGTCTGTTCTCCAAGTACAATAAGGATCCTATGGAAGTTTAAACACAGTAGCACAGAAAGGATTTGCTCCAGTGAGCTTGAATTAAATTTCTCACAACTACCACACACATGGGTTGCTTATGTGGCTGCAGCCTACCAGCTAGGAAAAGACTGCATATTACTGATGCAGTGCTTATCAAGTTTGAATGCTTTGGAATTATTCAGAATGAAAAATGCTACGACTAATGATTCTGTCATATGTTAGTTATTAACTGTAAACCCTAAAGATCACATATGTCGGATTTTAACTCTTGTCAATTTCACTGTACTGTGTGCTGACTCAAAAAGCAAGTCTGTGAGCGAGAAAGTGTATACTACAGAGTATGTGTGAAGGTATGTGTAAATAATTTGATTCAAATGGCCAACATTCAGATTTATTTTAATAAAGCAGCTGGAAAATTGTCTCAGCTGATCCTTACATATAAAACATGGCTGAAATTATGTCTTGGGCAATAACAGGGAAAGAAAGACTGTAGGGTATATTTCAGGGCCTTATTCAACTGTACTTTAGCATCGCTTATGTGAACAGGGGGATGTTTCACTAATAGCACATCTACACTATGTGGAAGATTGACACTGCCACAGTCAATCTTCTGGGGTTCAATTTAGCAGGTTTAGAATAGACCCACTAAATCAAACTCAGAGTGCACCATTACTCCTGCTCCCCATAACGAGTAAGGGAAGCTGACAGGAGCATTTGCTCCCATCAGCCTCTCACTGTGTGGATGGTGCAGAAATGTGATTTAAGATATGTAAATGTATCAACATAATTTATGTAGCCATAGTTGCATATATTAGTTCGTCCTTCTGCTGTAGTATAGACTAGACCTTAAGGTTTGGTCCTGCACACCAAAGGAAGGGTGTTGTCCATACAAACACAAAGTAAGAAAGTTATGATCAGGAAAGTGAAAGCTGCTTAGCCCAGTCCCATTGAACTGTAGTGTAGAGTAGTCAAATAGTAGCAGGAGTAAGGCCTAATATGGGAATACATAGTGAAGGGTCTCATGCAATGCTTAGAATTTAATTTATACGGCCATTCTATGCCCAAGTATCCGTGGAGGACTGCTGTGAAAAATGCAAATTAAATTTAATTTGACACCTATGCCAAACCTGAACCTGTCTTTGTAGGTGAAAATGCTGCACCTCTTAGGCCCAAGATTTCTAATTTGTTTCTCATTCTGGCTCAACTTATTATTTTTAAAAGATATACATTAATGAGTTACCATTTCTGTTACTTAGTGACCTGCTAAAAATGGTTCACATTAGTAAAGGTTTGGCAAGGAATGTCTGTATGTTTCATCTAATAAGGTATAATCTTATTAATCACAAATCAAATAGGATTTGTGGGACTGGTAATGGGATAGAACCTATTCTCCTTTATAGACCTTTTACCTCCAGCTAGCATTTTACACACAGCATTGTGTGGTAGTGACAGACAGGTATTACTTTCTGATACCTTTTTGGTAGATTATATGAAATTAATTAGTTGATGGACTCAATCCAGTTCCTATTGGACCGATGTTTAAAAAGTAGTAATTGTGTGTTACCTTGCCATTAAACAGACAGTAAGGGTACGTCTACACTGTACACTTATTTCAGAATAAGCTATTTCGGAAGAAAAACTCTGAAATAGCTTATTTTGAAATAGAGCGTCTACACAGCAAATGCCCATCAGAATAGCGCTGAGCTATTTCAAAATAGAACGTCCCCACTCATTGGGTGCTGAATCACATTTAAGGCCACTTGGAAGCACTTCAGGCAGGGCATCAGGACAGCAGTTATTTCCTGAAGCTGCTGCATGAGTCTATCTGAAGCTCGAGCTTTAAGGGACTCCCCTGTATAGCCGTGTCTCAGGCTCCTCTCTTTTGCCTACCTCACTGAGGGACATCAAACCCACTCCTTTGCCTACTGTGGTTGCCCTTAGGGACACCTCAGCTCACTAGCCATGGAGCCAGAGCTGCCTCTGAGAACTCGATACTTCTTATCTGTCGTGCTGCAGCTCCTGCAGGTGTTTCTGCAGGCTGCCCTCCAGGCCCTGCAGGAATACAACCCCAACTCGATACTTCTTATCTGTCGTGCTGCAGCTCCTGCAGGTGTTTCTGCAGGCTGCCCTCCAGGCCCTGCAGGAATACAACCCCCAGCTCATTACAGAGAACCTCATCGTCTTTATGTGGGTGCAGCTCATGCAGCTGGACCCCACCATGCACCGCCGCTTCTGGCGTCTGGACACCAGTTCCTACTGGTGGGACCGGCTTGTTATGGAGCAGTGGGACAACCAGCAGTGGCTCCAGAATTTTCGTATGTGGAAGGACACCTTTCTGGAGTTGTATGAGTGGCTCACCCCTGCCCTCAGATGACGGGACACACACATGCGACCCACCATACCCCTCAAGAAGCGAGTCACCATCGCCATCTGAAAGGTCACCATGCCAGACATCTACTGATCTGTCGGGAACCTGTTCGGCCTGGGGAGATTGGCTGGGGGGGCGTATGACGCTCTTGGCTATTGTCCCAGGAGTTTAGTGAAGTGCTAGAATGGGGTTCCCTAATGAAAGGGGGGTTGTTGTTGGTGGAAGCCCCCTAGCTGGGAAGTTTTTCAGTTCTGCCTTCACAAAGCCCTGCTTGGGAAGGGATAAGTAGGGGGTTGCTCCTGGTGTGTGTAGGGGGGAGCTCAGGGACCTCCCATGAGCTCTGGCAACCCTGTGATTCTCTGTCTCCTTTTACAGATGGTGTGGGCCATCAACACCATCCCTCTGCGCAGGGTCATCAACCTTGGTGATGTGGACCCCATCATCACCAGCTTTGCCAACATGGGCTTCCCCAACTGCAGGGGGGTTATTGACGGCACCCATATGCCTGTCTGAGCCCCAACCACTTGGCATCTGTATCATCAACTAGAAAGGGTACCTCAATGGTCCTACAGGCCGTCACAGTCTACCATGGCCGGTTCACAGATATCTACATCAGGTGGTTGGGGAGTACGCACGATGCCTGCATCTTCCAAAACTCCAGCATCTTCCAGAAACTGCACGCCAGCACTTTTTTTTCTCAACTGCACCATCAGGGTCATGGACATGGACATGCCGATGTGCATTGTAGGGGACGCACCCTACCCTAATGAAGCCCTACACAGGACACCTTGACCACATCAAGGAATTCTTCAATGCCAAGCACAGCCCAGATGGTGGAGGAGGGTGCCTTTGGGCATCTGAAGGTGAAGTTCCATTGCCTCCTCACCCAGCTGGATGTCAGGGAGTGGAATGTCCCTTAAGTGGCAGCTGCGTGCTGTGTCCTTCACAATATATGTGACAGGAAGGGGGAGATGTTCCTGCCAGTGTGGGGAGCAGAGCCCGACTGGATCAACAGGGCGTTTGAGCAGCCGCGAACAGCTGCCATCTGGCAGGCCCATCAGGGGACTGTGTGCATCTGGAAGGTCCTGAGGGAGAGTTTCTCACAAGGACCCCAGTGACACTCTCCCCTGGGCCTTCCCACTATGGGCCTGTGCCTTGCCCCATGTACCTTTTCTCCCACACCCCTACCCTCCCCCCTCCACTGCAGAGTCAATAAACTACACTTTTTGTTTGAGAAAAAATAAACTTTGTTTTTTAATTTGGATAAAAGTAACTGGGGAAAGAACCTGGGAGAGGGGAAGAGGAGAGGCTCAGGGCTCAGGCTGGGAGTGGCACCTGGTTCTGGATGTGGGAACCTTGGTGGCCATGGGGTGAAGCTAGGGGAAGAAGCGGGAGGGGCAGGAGCAGGGGCAGGAAGGAGGGGCAGGAGCAGGAGCAGGCACCATGCTGGCGATGAGCGCTTGTGCATCCGTGCTGATGATGCAGCCCAGATCCAGCATCTTCCGCCAGGTCTCTTGCCACAGCTGGATGCCCTCCTCCAGTCTCTGGTCCAGGGTATGCTGCAGGGCTTGCAGTGTGGAGATGTGCTCCTGCTGGAATTCCTCCTGGGTTCTCCTGCACCGGCGGGTCACTCAGGGTCGGGAGGCTGCCCTGGGTAGTATTGACTGCCCCCTTCATACAGCTGGTCTGGCTGTGGAGAAGACAGAGGTGGTTGGTTGTCCCTCCGCCTGAAGCCTTGCCCTCATCTGTGAGCTGAGACTGAAATATCTTGTGTCAGACAAAGACGATGTGCTCGGAGCAAGGCCATCTATGGTCTGGACAATGGGCCCTTTCCTGCAGGGGCCCAGATGAACAGGGGAGAGCTTTACTACCCCCACGTCCTGGGGACAAGCAGGCAGCATGGGAAGGTGCCAGTCAGACCAGGAGTCTGTGGGCAGGAGGGGGGCCACAGGGCAGCTGGACTTTCCTCCATGCCGAGCATATGCCAGGTCTGGCAGGCACGGCATCCCATGGGAAGAGGACTTGTATCCTTGTCTGCTGGATGGGAGGCAGGTGTGTGTGAGTGGTAGATGCTCCTGTGGCTCACAGTGCTGGCCCCAGGAGCAGGTGCAGCCCTGAGCATGTGGGCATGCCCATGTGCTGTGTGTGTCACTCCTAACTGTGTGTGTGTCGCCATGTCCCCAGCTTCCTTCTAGAGGTGGCTTTTGGTGAGAGAATGTCCCACCCCAGTGTGGCTGGCCTCCCCAGACCCTGTGAGCAATAGCACAAGGGTCTTCTGGTGCAGCCTCCCAGGGCTGTTTGCCCCTGACTGACATTCCATGTGCACCCATGTGCACAGGCTGCTGCACGATCCCCAGCTCAAGAAGGCCAAGTGAGAAGCATGCCCCAGCCCCTCACCATCTGCCATGTCCACCCTGTGGGTGTAGCGAAAGTAATGGCACACACCTGATGTGCCTTCCCTGGCGTTGGACAATGCCTGGGAGATATCCAGGGTACCAGCTCCAGGGTGAGCATGGTGATGGTCAGCAGAAAAGGACCTGGGGGTTACAGTGGATGAGAAGCTGGATATGAGTCAACAGTGTGTCCTTGTAGCCAAGAAGGCTAATGGTGTATTAGGTTGCACTAGGAGGAGCACTGCCAGCAGATCTAGAGAAGTGATTATTTCCCTTTATTCGGCACTGGTGAGGACACATCTGGAGTATTGCATCCAATCTGGGGCCCTCACTACAGAAATCATGTGGACACATTGGAGAGGGTCCAGTGAAGGGCAACCAAAATGATTAGGGGGCTGGAGCATATGACCTATGAGGAGAGGCTGAGGGAGTTGGGTCTGTTTAGTCTGCAGAAGTGAGAGTGAGGGGGGATTTGATAGCAGCCTTCAACTGCCTGAACGAGGTTCCAAAGAGGAAGGAAAGAGGCTGTTCTCAGTAGTGACGGATGGCAGAACAAGGATCAATGGTCTCAAGTTACAGTGGGGGAGGTCTAGGCTGGATATTAGGAAAAACAATTTCACTAGGAGGGTGGTGAAGCACTGGGATGGGTTACCTAAGGAGGTGGTGAAATCTCCATCCCTAGAGGTTTTTAAGTCTCAGCTTGACAAAGCCCTATCTGGGATGATTTAGTTGGGGTTGGTCCTGCTTTGGGCAGGGAGCTGGACTTGATGACCTCCTGAGGTCTCTTCCAGCCCTAGGACTCTATGGCTGTGTCTAGACTGGCAAGTTTTTCTGCAAAATCATCTGCTTTTGCGGAAAAACTTGCCAGCTGTCTACACTGGCCGCTTGAATTTCCGCAAAAGCACTGACGATCTCATGTAAGATTGTCAGTGCTTTT